TGACTTCTCGTTAGTTGTTTTGACTTCCTGTTGTTTGGATTTCCTGTTTGTTGTTTTGATTTCTTGTTTGTTGTTTAAACTTCCTGTTTGTTGTTTTGACTTCCTGTCTGTTGTTTGGATTTCCTGTTGTTTTGACTTCCTGTTTATTTGTTGTTTTGACTTCCTGTCTGTTGTTTGGATTTCCTGTTGTTTTGACATCCTGTTTATTTGTTATTTTGACATCCTGTTCATTGTTTTGATGTTCTGTTTTTGTTTGGACTTCCTTTTTGTTTCAGACGAGCTCATCTTTGACTCGGAACGGTCCGAGGAGAAGAACTGCCTGTTGCTCCAGTTGGTTCTGGATTGTCTCCAGAAGATTTTCCTGTACGACACTCAGAACTTCCTGAACCGGGACCGGGCCGACACCCTGCTGGTTCCGCTTGTGGACCAGGTGAGGTATCTGCAGGTCCATCAGGACCAGTTGAAACAAACAGAACCTAACCGGTCATGCGTCTGTATGTAGCTGGAAAACCGTCTGGGTGGGCCGCAGGTCTACCAAAACCGGGTCACTCAGCACCTGGTTCCTTGTGTGGGTCAGTTCTCTGTGGCGCTGGCCGATGACCTGCAGTGGAAGACACTGAACTACCAGATCCTCCTGAAGACCAGACACAGTGATGCAAAGGTGAGCCAGACCCGAGACCACCTGAAGGTTCTAGAAACTAAAGAATCCTATTTTTAATTAAAATTTTAAAATCCAATTATATTTAACAGTCCTTTCCCACTCTTCCTCACCTTTTTCCTATTCTTTCTTATTCTCTTCTGTTCTTCCTCCTCCTCTTCCTGGTCTTCCTCCTCTTCCTGTTTCTCCTTCCTGTTTCTCCTACTCTTCCTGTTCCTACTCTTCCTCCTTCCTGATCCTACTCTTCTTGTTTCTCCTTCCTCTTCCTCCTCCTCTTCCCGTTCTTTCTCCTCCTCCTCCCTGATTTTCCTCTTCCTGGTTTTCCTCTTCTTCCTGTTTCCCCTACTTGTCCTGTTCCTACTCTTCCTGGTCTTCCTCCTACTTCTTCCTGGTCTTCCTCCTCTTCCTGTTTCTCCTTCTTGTTCCTCTTACTTTTCCTGTTCCTACTCTTCCTCCTCCTCCTTCCTGATTCTCCTTCCTGTTCCTCCTCCTATTCCCGTTCCTCCTCCTCCTCCTTTCTGAGCTTCCTCCTCTTTCCTGTTTCTCCTTCCTGTTCCTCCTACTCTTCCTGTTCCCACTCTTCCTCCTCCTCCTTCCTGATCCTCCTCTTCTTGTTTCTCCTTCCTGTTCCTCCTTCCTGATCTTCCTCTTCCCGGCCTTCCTCTTCTTCCCATTTCTCCTTCCTGTGCCTCCTACTTTTCCTGTTCCTACTCTTCCTCCTCCTTCTTCCTGATCTTCCTCGTCTTCCTCCTCTTCCTGTTTCTCCTTCCTGTTCCTCCTTCTATTCCCGTTCTTCCTCCTTCCTGATCCTCCTCTTCCTGTTTCTCCTTCTTGTTCCTTCTCCTATTCCCGTTCTTCCTCCTCCTTCTTCCTGATCTTACTCTTCCTTGTCTTCCTCCTCTTCCTGTTTCTCCTTCCTGTTCCTCCTCCTATTCCCGTTCTTCCTCCTTCTTGATCTTCCTGTTTCTCCTACTTGTTCCTTCTCCTGTTCCCGTTCTTCTTCCTCCTCCTCCTTTCTGATCTTCCTCTTCCTGGTCTTCCTCCTCTTCCGGTTTCTCCTTCCTGTTCCTCCTCCTCTTCCTCCTCCTCCTTCCTGATCCTCCTTCTGCCCTTCCTGTTCTTCGTCCTCTTCCTGTTCCTCCTCTTCCTTCCTGTTCTTCATACTCTTCCTGTTCCTCCTTCCTGTTCCTCCTCCTCCTCTTCCTCCTTCTCTTCCTGTTCTTCATCCTCCTCTTCCTGTTTCTCCTCCTTCTCTTCCTGTTCTTCATCCTCCTCTTCTTCGTCCTCCTCAGGTCCGGTTCTCCTCCCTGGTGATGCTGATGGAGCTGGCCTCCAGACTGAAGGAGAACTATGTGGTTCTGCTCCCAGAGACCATCCCGTTCTTGGCAGAACTCATGGAGGGTGAGTTCAGTCGGTCCAAAGCAGCGGTTCTGTTCTGGTTGATTCTGATCTGGACTGGTTCCAGTTCTGGTTCCAGTTCTGTTACAGTTGGTTCTGGTTTAGTGCACACTTTGTTGTAATGAGTCATCAGAACCAGAACCATGCTGATTGTTTGTGTTTCAGACGAGTGTGAAGAGGTGGAGCAGCAGGTCCAGAAGGTGGTTCAGGAGATGGAGAACATCCTGGGAGAACCTCTGCAGAACTACTTCTAACAAGTTCTACAAAAACCCAACAGAACCTTGTTCTAATAAAAGTCTTTTCTACCACACTTCCTGTTGGGTTTTATTGATGATGTCATCAGCCAGCAGGGTCAGTGTGGAGCTTCAGTTCTGCTGCCTGGTTCCTGTTCTGCAACCTCACAGATGTGTTTTCTGGATCAGTGAGGGGACTATGATGTGGGCGGCATGGTAGAGCAGTGTTTGGAGCTGTCACAGTTTCGATTCCCCATCTGGAGTCTTTCTGGGCGGAGCTTAAAGGTTCTGAAGCTGACCCACAGACCAGAAACCTTCACGGGTTGAGTGGTGAATCAATGGTACAGTGGTGTGAAACTTTGTCCCTGTGATGGCCTGGAGACCTGTCCAGGACAGGTGTCCATGTGATGGACTAAAGACCGTTCTAGCTGACGGAACCCGTTCTGTAGATCATTCATTAACCCCCAGAGGAAATTGAATGTCCTGCAGCTGCAGACACCAGAATGAACACAGAACCTTTAAGTCCACCTTAAAGTCCTGACCCCAGAGTGTCTCCCTTCCAGCGAGCTGGTGGACAGTCCAATGTCCAGGGGGGACAGAGGAGCCCCTCAGTCAGTCCCTGAAGCAAGACTGACTCCTGCTGTAGATGCAGATGGTGAGGGGCGAAACTTTGTCCAGAGTTCTCTTCTCTGCAGATTCCAGCTCTATCCCATCAGAGGACTGTCCACCAGAGACTGGTAAAGGACACCCCCATGTTCTTCAGGAGGACAGTAAAGTCCTCAGTTTCACCTCTTACAGTAGATGGTCCTGTAGTCACAGATAAAGAATGAAGAGTTAATATTTGAATGGACATTTCACAGGTTCTGCTGGTGTTCCAGCATCGACATCTACAGTTTGAATAGGAGCTCTTCACAATGGAACTTGGTGTCCTGTGTGTCCTGACTCCTTCCAGTCTCACTCGGGCTTATGTTCCCCTTCACAAAACATTGTTTGAACTTAGGCACAGAACGAGATGGAGGGAATCTTTAGACCCCGACAAGCTGGGCTGGACGAGCTATCTCCATTATTTTTCAAGTTGGCAACTCCGTTTATTGAAGCACCATTAGCTAGTACAGTTTCCCATGTATTGTGTAATATATCCTTCTTCTTTAGAGTTTTTCCTCTTCAGGGGTACAGCGAGTCCTCCTCCCCTGTCCTCACTCCAACTACCTCCATGTCCTCTCTAACTGCATCCATATGTCTCCTCTTTGTCTTTTTCCTGGCAGCTGCATTTCTAACATCCTACCAATACACCTACTGTCCCTCCTCTGGACATGTCCAAACCACTGTCCCTCCTCTGGACATGTCCAAACCACTGTCCCTCCTCTGGACATGTCCAAACCATCTCAGTGTGTCCTCTCTAACTTGACCTTCCAGTTGTTCAACCTGTGCTGTACCTCTGATGATCTCATTCCTGATCTTCTCCATCCTTGTCTCTCCTAAGAAGAACCCCAACATCTTCATTTCTGCCACTTCCAGTTCGGTCTCCTGTCTTTTTGTCCATGTCTCTGTCTCCAGACCAGACAACATAGCTGGTCTCACCACTGTCTTGTAAACTTTTCCTTTGACCTTTGCTGACACCCTTTTGTCACAAATCACTGCTGAAACATTTCTCCATCACTCCATCCTGCCTGGACTCTCTTCTTCTCCTCTTTACCACACTTCCCATGTTCCTGGACAGTGGACCCCAAGTCCTTGAAGTCCTGCACCTTTGTGACCTCTGCTCCTTGTAGCCACACTGTTCCACCTCCTCCCTCTCATTCACACACATGGACTCTGTCTTACTGCGACTGACTTTCATTCCTCTTCTTTCAAGTGCATACCTGCACCTCTCCAAGTTCTCTTCCACTTGTTCCCTGTTCTCACCACAGACCACATCATCTGCAAACATCATCGTCCACAGGGATTCCTGCCTGACCTTGTTAGTCGTTCCATCACCAGAGCAAACAAGGGGCTCAGAGCTGATCCTTGATGCACTCTACCACCACCTTGAAGCTATCTGTCACTCCTACAGCACGTCTCACCACTGTCCTGCTGTCCTCATACATGTCCTGCTGTCCTCATACATGTCCTGTACCAGTCTAATGTAGTGAACTAAGCCTCCGGTCAAGACCTGCCTCTGAAGACCTTCATGGGACAGGAACTGTTATTTCATTGATTTGAATCCAGAAATACAAATTAGCTCATCCAGAGACTTTCTAATTGTATCCTGAACTAATCAATTGAAAGAACACTCTCTTTTTCATATTATCATTACTATTTTACAATATCTTGATAATCAAAAGTGTGTTTAGTTCATACCATTTTTAAATGTTGAAGTGAACCACTCATTTTAAATCAACTGTGAAACAGTATTAATGATTTTTAATCCTCATTCAAAGTAGAAATCAAGTTAAATGTCTATGTTACAAAGTAATTATGCATTTTTGATCTTCTGTCTGAAATGAGAAAGGTGTGATGTCGGTCAAAAGTCGGAGACAGTCGCAAACAAGTTGTTGGAACGAACTGTCATGTTTTTAAACCTCTCAGACAGAAACAAGAGAACTGGCACCTGTAAGTCTGTCATTTCTCCAAAACATTTCTCTGTCTGTTCCTAAACATCTCTTCTGACTTGTAATGACCCTCTGACGTCACTAAAACCACACCCCTGTTGGTTCTTTCAACCAATCAGGACTTCCCAAAAGTGACCGGAAGCAGAACTCTTTACAAGTCGACACTTCCTAGTTCCAGGGAGAACAGAAGTTCCAAAAGTTCAGAACAGAGAGTTCTGCTGAGAAGGAAGACAGAGTGTGACTTTGCAAGGGTGAAGTCCACGGTGGTCTTTTTCTGAAAGATGACACCTGTCTGGAGTGTTGGTTCAGGTCATCACGCCAAAGACCTATTCAACATCTCAGGAGTTCAGCACGTTTGCTGAAATTCCACTTAACTTAATCCTATCCTTCAGGGAAGTTTATTTTGGAAGCTGGGCCAGTCAGAAGCGGATATAAATCCCTGGAGATAAAAGACTCAGCCTTGCTGGACGTCAGGAGAAGACCTCTCTGAAACCCCACCAAGGTAAAGAGTCGACGCTCGGGTACCATCTGGCTGAAATCACCGGGAAACGTGCTATCTGGTTTCAAACAAGATAACTCCCCATCTTTTCTTTATTATCTTAGTTAACCCTAAGTATCCACTTTTCCTTCTTAAACTTTACTCCATCTCTATATTTCCCTGCCAGTAAAGATAAGCTAAAGCCTGCAGACATTAATTTAAGATCTAAGGATATGTCTGTTGTTTCAAGCTGCAAGTGAGGAATCATGGCCGTATGACTTCTCATTGTAAAGCTCATTAATTAAGCTGTGTTATTGTAATCAATTATGCCAATCAATGTGTAAAATGTGTGATGTGTTTAAATCGTTTTGATAAATAAAAGACCGCACTGTTGTTGGTGGGTCAGAAATTTAAACACGTCTTTGTCCACATTTAATCTTCTAGGCACAATATGACTTAGTCCAGAAAAATGAAAGAATCCGTTTAAATTAAGTATAATATTATGTACTTGAATTAGTCCAGATATTATAAAATGTAAGAGAGCACCCCTGAGCTAAATCCATCTCCCGGTGTCTCTCATTACACTAACATACTTCTCTGCCACTCCAGATCTCCTCATGTAACACCACACCACCTCCCTCGGCACTCTGTCAGATGCTTTTTCTAAATCTACAAAGACACAGTGGAGTTCTTTCTGACCCTCTCTGTACTTCATCAGCATCCTCAAAACAAAGATGGATCTGTGGTGCTCTTTCTCAACATGAAACCATCCTGCTGCTCAGTCACCTTTCATCCAAGTCTTGCTTCCACAACTCTCTCCCTGATCTTCATCGTGTGGCTCATCAACTTAGTTCCCCTGTAGTTGCTACAACTCTGTACATCAACCTTGTTCTTAAAAATGGCCACCAGCACTTCTTCTCCATTCCTCAGGCATTTTCTCACCCTCAAATTTGTCATTGATTATTTGAGTCAAAACCCTCACTGCCATCTCTCCAAGACATTTCTAAACCTCCACTGGTCATCAGGTCCTACTGCCTTCACCTTCTTCATTCTTTTCAGAGCTTTCCAGACTTCACCCTCACTGATCTTTCCCACTTCCTGGTCCACAGTTTCCATGACCTCTACTCTTCTTAGTCTTTCATTCTCTTCATTCATTAGCTCCTCAAAGTACTCCTTCCATCTTCCCATTACACTCTCCCCACTTGTTAGAACATTACTATTCCTGTCTTTAATAAGCCTAACCTGCTGCATCGACCCGACAAGAACCTGTTGGTGCCACCAGGCCAGCTCCGTCAGTAAGACTCTGTTCTTAGTGTTTAAATTTATTAGGGGAAGTGGTGGTGCAGAGCTTAGAGAAGGTGGGCATGTGATCGGAAGATCGCCGGTTCACGCCCTGGTGCCGACAACATCAAAATGTGGGTGGGGTAGGTGAAACACCCACACCTGCCTCCACCCTCATTCGCCCCACTCTGGGCCCCTGAGCAAGGCCCTTAACCCCCACCATGTGCTCCTAAACAGGTCTCTCTTGAAAATGAGTTCTCGTGGCTCAATGAGTCTACCTGGATAAATAAAGAGTAAATTAAAAATAAATGGCTTCTTAAATACAGATTAAATAAAATAAAGAATAAATAAAATGTAAATAAAGAATAAATAAAATGTAAATAAAGAATAAATAAAATGTAAATAAAGGTTAAATAAAATGTAAAAAAAGGTTAAATACAATTTAAATAAAGGTTAACTAATAAAGTTCAGAACAACCAACAGGAACCAGTTGGGTCACATTTTAGCTGCTGTTACACAACCTGCCAGCTGATGACGTCACGGGGAGTTCTTGAGCTGCTCGCTGGGCTCCGGGCTCAGAGTGAGGATGAGGAGCGCGCGGAGTGTGCAGCAGATCAAACGGAGCCTTCATCATCCTCCTCTCCCTCAGCGCTCTGCGGGAATCATCGGAGCCCCTTTCTCCAAGGGACAGGTGAGGACAGGGACAGGGGAGGACAGGGACAGGTGAGGACGGGGACAGGTGAGGACGGGGACAGGTGAGGACAGTGACAGGTGAGGACAGGGACAGGTGAGGACAGGGACAGGTGAGGATGGGGACAGGTGAGGATGGGGACAGGGACAGGTGAGGACAAGGGACAGGTGAGGACAGGGACAGGTGAGGACAGGGACAGGTGAGGACGTGCAGTCAACCTCTGTGTTGTGTGTGTGTTCAGCACAGAGGAGGGGTGGAGAACGGACCGGACCGGATCCGAGCAGCGGGTCTCCTGCAGCGTCTGCAGCAGCAGGGTGAGTGCGCGGCCGCAGGTTCCGTTCTGTCCTGGAAGGAACAGAGTACTTCTACTCTGATTACTTTGGTTCATAAGGTTCAGCTGGAGGAGCAGGTTCTGCTCTGACCTGGTCCACATCTCAGTCCTGGTCTGGAGCTGAACTGGTTCAGATTATGAATTAATCAAATGTCAAAATGTTTTATTGTCCTCGTACGTCACCAGAGGACAGACGACATGTCTGTGTCCTCAGAGGGGACATGACATGTTTGTGTCCAGTTAGGAACACACAGGACATGCAGGAGGACGCCCAGGACGTGTCCTCAAACTGTCTCTGCTGAGATCAGCCGAAGGAGCTGAAACAAGAGGCAGGACATCAGCTAAAGGAGCTAAAGGTCAAAGCAGCAGCTGAAACATGTTTTTAACACATGAAGCTGAATTTATTCTTTTAATCAGTTTGTTTCCATAAAAAAAATAGTTTTATAGCTGCTACGTGTCAGATTACACCTCAGAGCTCCACCCACTTCTCCAAATATGGTCATTTCTTGTAGCAGAACCATCTCAGGTCCAGACGAGTTGTTTAACAGGTCAGTGCAACAAGTCACAACCCGAGTTCAACTTTGATCACTACGCCGGATTAAATAGTGCCAACACATCGATAACACTGGAGGACGACACGACTCGTTAGGACGAGTTAAACGTGTACCACAACGAGATCTGAGTCCAGTCCTGAAAATTCCAGGTTAAGACAAGTCCTTAGAGAGTCACGGGTCAAGACATGTCCTGAGAGAGTTCCAGGTCAAAACAAGTCCTTAGAGAGTCCCAATTCAAGACAAGTCCAGAGTCCCAGCTTAAGACAAGCCCTGAGAGTTCC